TCCGTGGTGTAATTAGGGGCTCGCCTTCCTATTTGTCCACTTAGCTCGCTTTTTTTTGCTCCTCAGGCGAGAGAAGAACTGGCCTCCAAGCTTGCATCTTCTGTTCCACTTACGGAGCATGAAACCCTCCAGTCCAAGTGTTGCCAACTTGAAGCCGATTGCCACCATCTCATCAGCCAATTAGAATCCACTGTTCCGAAGGCTGAACTCGAAACGCTGCAAGAGGAACACCGTCGTCTGGAGTCCGAGTACGCGGACCTGTCGCAGGAACTGGAGACGGTATGTCGCGTTTTCATTTTGTGATGTTTCGCCTCACCGTTCTTGCTACAGCCGCCAAAGATCACTTATATTCCCACTAGCTCTTGGCCTACCAAAAGGAGTCTGATCGTATTGTCAAACTCTAGGTTTCCATCCCGATTTGTTGGTTTATGCTTTTACACATAGCGCGCCGCTAGAATCTTCGGTGTGTCTTCACAAAAGATAAGGTTCTCTCCAGTACTTTAAGTCCCTAGTTGCCGTTTGCAGGACTTTCTACAACACCTGCAGTTTATAAGTAGTTAAGTTGTATTAGCACGATGCAATTATCACCCGGACACAGTTAACGTATACAAAACGATCTACTGGAAACAAGTAAGTAGTGTGGTTATAGTCGTCTCAACAATCCGCTAGATAAGATGTTGAAACTTCGGGTTGACCGTTAACTTACCAACATAACAGATTTGCTGGCTCATTTGGCCTTGAATTTTTTGTTATCTGGCATTAACTGTCCGACATAGATTGTTCATAGGGGGTTTGTATTACGTTCTCTCGATGCTAGCCGCCTTCAAGGAATTTGACCATCCACCTTTTATCTTCCCGTCACGCCCACTTGTGTTTAGATGAAGGAGGAAATGGCATCTAAGATAGCGGCCTCCGTTCCGCTAACGGATTATGAAGCCCTCCAGTCCAAGTGTTCCAAACTGCAGGCTGATTGTAACCGTCTGTTCAACCAACTGGAATCCACTGTTCCCAGGTCTGAGCACGAAACGCTGCAAGATGAACACCGTCATTTGGAGTCAGAGTACGCGAACCTGACACAGGAACTGGAGAATGTACGTTGGGATTTTTTTCATGGCGATTCTCCTTGCTGTTCCTACTGCGATTGTCGGTATATGTTAATACGTCCACTATGTTTAAGACTATAGGAGGCAGTTGAAAACTAGGGTCCCCTTGTAGACGTAGTTATCTCGGCTGGTCCCAGGATGCTGCTTTATTTAGTTTTTTGGGTTTACGCTTGTTCTTCAGGGGTCAGAGGAAAAGGAGTTGTGGGCGTCTCAAAGGCATGTTTTAGTGGATTATAATAATACCTGCTCTATCGTATAAGGGATAGGGGGGGAGGATGATAGTGATAGGTCTATCTCCT